CTCAGAACATGGTAGAAACATACTCTTTCTTCTAGAAAGATAAAGTCACACAAGTCATACAAGTAAATGAAAAAAACAACAAGAATGAGTGGCAAAACATTACAACTGAAACAAATTCTCCAGTAATTAGAAGTACATAAATACTATGTGTAGTGGGTTTCTGTGGCTGGGTTTTGGTGCAGGGGCTAGGAGGTGGCTTCTGTTAGAAGCTGCCAGAAGCTTTCCCTGTGCCATGGAGCCAATGCCAGCTGGCTCCAGGAGGGGCTTCCTGCCCTGGCCAAGGCTGAGCCAATCAGGAGTAACAGAAACGCCTCTGTGATAACATATTTAAGAACAGCGGGTCATTTCACAGAAAGAATCCTAGCCAGGGAAGAGCGGAGTGAGAACATGGGAACACCAAGGTAGACCCCAAGGTCAGTGCAGAAGGAGGGGCAGGAGGTGCTCCAGGCCCTGCAGCCCGTGCTGCAGCCCATGGTGGGGCAGCTGTGCCCCTGCAGCCCATGGGGGACCATCGGGGTGCAGAGACCCCCCTGCAGCCCATGGAGGAGCCCACGCTGGAGCAGGTGGATGCAGGAAGGAGGCTGTGACCTCGTGGGAGGCCCAAGAAGGAGCAGGGTCCTGCTGGAGGCCTGCAGCCCATGCAGAGGGAAGCCCAGGCTGGAGCAGGTTTTTCCTGGGTAGGACTTGTGGCTCCTGTGGTGGAACCACGACGGTACAGCTCATTGGTGAGGGATTGCACCCCATGGAGGAGTGACCCACGGACAGCAGTTTGGCAAGAGCTGCTGCCTGAGGGATGGACTCACACTGTGGGGGACTGTCTCCTGTGGGAGGGACCCCACAGGACCAGGGGACCAGGGGAAGGACTCCTCTCTCTGAGCAGTGGTAGAAACAACAACTGACTGCAACCCCCATTCCCTCTCCCCCTGCACCCCTTGGTTGGGAGGAGGGAGAACATGGAAGGAAGGAGGGGTAGAGGAAGGTGTTTTTAAGATTTATTTCTCACTCTTTGTCTCTTATCCTGTTAGTAATACATTTAAGTAATATCCCCACTTTGAGTCTGTTTTGCCCATGAAGGTAATCAGTAACTGACCTTTCCCAGCTCTTAGCTCATGAATCCTTCACTGGTTTTTTTTCTCTCCTCTATCCAGTTGCAGAGGGAGAGTGAGAGAGTGGCTTTACTAGGTAGCTGGTATCCAGCCAGGGTCAACCCACTACACTATGTTTGAAAGAAATACCTCTTTAAAATGTGGTAAAGTAAAATTATATTTACTTAAAATTATTTTATTTAAAAGGAAACTGTAGAAAGAAAAATATCTTAAAATGAAAGTTAATTTTCTAAAATATGATCAGAAATCAATAATATTCATCTGTACATTCAAGATCAAACCTAACTGCATCTCAGCTTGTTCCCCAAAGAGAAATCAACATTCAGTATCAAATATTTTTTCATACTTACAAAGGAAAGAATGATAGCATTCTACTACTTGAAGTTCAATACTGTGATAAAAGGAGTGGTGAATTATTCTACAAGCAGCTGGTGGAGGTTTCAAAATCACCAACCCTCGTTCTTGTGGGTGACTTTAACGTGCCAGATATCTATTGGAAACAACACAGCAGAGAAGTGGCAGTCTAGGAGATTCCTAGAGTATCCCAGAGAATAACTTCCTATTGCAGCTGATAATTGAACCTATCAAGGGTGAGGCCCTGCTAGACCTGCTGTTTACAAACAGAGAAGGGCTGGTGGGAGATGTGGTGGTCAGAGGCTGTCTGGGCACAATGACCACGACATTAGATGGAGTTTTCAATACTTGGTGAAGTAAGGAAAGGTGCCAACAAAACCTCTGCCCTGGAAATTTTTTAGATTTGGGCCTATTCAGGAGGCTGGTTCAGAGAGTACCTTGGGAAACAGCACTTAAAAACAAAGGAGTCCAGGAAGGATGGACATCCTTCAAGAAAGAAATCTTGAAGGCACAGGAGCAGGCTGTCCTTGTGTGCCAAAAGACGAGCCACTGGGAAAGATGACTGGCCTGGCTGAACAGGGAGATTTTGCAGGAAATTAGGGAAAAAAAGAGTCTATCACCTTTGGAAAAAAAGCAGGCAACTCATGAAGTGTTTAGGAACATAGAAAGAAAATCAGAGAGGCAAAAGCACAATTCGAACTTAATCTGGCCACTTCTGTTAAGGACAACAAAAAGTGTTTTTATAAATAGTGTTTTTATAAATGCATCAACAGCTAAAGGAGAGGTAAGGAAAACCTCCATTCTTTGTTGGACCTGGAGGGGAACATAGTTACCAAAGACTCGTTAGGCTGCACCTCGAGTACTGTGTGTAGTTCTAGGCCCTTCAGTTCAGGAAGGACACTGAGGGGTTGGAGCAGGTCCAGAGAAGAGCAACCAGGCTGGTGAAGGGACTTGAGCACAAGTCCTGTGAGGAGAGGCTGAGGGAGCTGGGGTTCTTTAGTCTGGAGAAGAGGAGGCTCAGAGGTGACCTCATCACTCTCTACAACTACCTGAAAGGAGGTTGTAGCCAGGTGAGGGTCAGTTTCTTCACCCAGGCAAACAGCAGAAGGACAAGAAGTCACAGTCTTAAACTGTGCCAGGGAAGATTTAGGTTGAATATTAGGAAAACATTTTTTACAGAGAGGGTAATCAGACACTGGAATGGGTTGCCCAGGGAGGTGGTGGATTCACTGTCCCTGGAGCTTTTTAAGATAAGAGTGGATGTGACACTTAGTGCCATGGTCTAGTTCACAGAGTAGTATTAGGTCATGGGTTGGACTCAATGGTCTCAGAAGTCTTTTCCAACCTGGCTGATTCTGTGATTCTGTGAAAGAGACGCAGACACCCAAAAGAGAATATTCTGATACAGACAATGCCCCTCAAAAAATCAGATAAAGTCCAGAAACTGAAGTCAATTTCCTCTTTGGCCTTTACGTACAGGTTTATTTGGGTTTTTTTAGTGTATTTTTTCTGGATGTGAATTTTTTTTCAGCAAAGTACTGTCATCAGACAATCGCAACTAGGCAAATTCAAAGAATCACCTATGTGATTATATAGTGAGTTAAACCTCATTTCCATCTATATCCAATCACTATAAAAAACCACAGGAAACTAGAATTCAGAGAATTACCTAATAAAAAAAATATACCTTGAAGTATCAAGGAACATGTTTTTAAAAAGACCAAGAAGAGAATTATCACAAAGCCCACAATATTTTTTCAAGATTTTTCAGACACTTCAGATAACGCTCTAAGCTATTTTAAACTACACACATAGTAAGGCACATAATAAGAAATCAGGTAAATACACACTTACTTAAGTATAGTGGTAAAAAAAATCTCTTTAGGTGTTTTTTTTTTGTGCCCCAAAAATAACTTCTTTAAGATCTGTCATACCATCATAGACCTGAATAGTTTCCCTAAGATTGTAAACAATTATTACAATTATTTAGAGGAATGCAAAAATTTATTTTAAATCCCAACTACTTTCTTTTTTATATTCTCCAAAGTACGATTACACATCACTTCATAGTAAAAATAGGACAAACTTCCATTCCATGGTTAAGTCAACCTAAATCTCTGATACCGTATCTTGAAGAAACTTGTGAAATACCTTTTACTCCTCATAGAGAAGGCACTGCCTTTTCTCTAATAATTTAATCTGTAGGAACAGCACAGACTTCTTATTTTTATAAACAAGTTATTTGTAAAGATCTGCCAAAGTATAAACCCACACCCTGGTAACATAAATACTATTTAGAGGATACTCACAGTCACTGCTTGCTTTTCTTCAACTCGAGAACTATTTCACATTCAAATTAGTGTTTAATCTTCGCAGTGGAAATTTACCATTTTGTTAATAATACTCTTTGCTTGGTGTATTGTAAAAGTATTCTAAAATGTTTTCTAAGGGTGATTGAGAATAAAAACCTAAAGGATGTTCTCAAAATATAATTTTAAGTAGGAAATTTGAAAAATATTGTTGCTAAAGCTATTTCACAGAAGAATCTTTCTATGGATCACATACTTGCAGCTAGAATCAGAAAAGATCATCATGTAATTCTTTGTGTATTAATGAGCTGCTTCTTTTAAAAGACAGAGTTGGTCTCAGTTGTCTCAGTCTGTATTTGAAGATTTTACTAAAACTGCTATGAAGCCTTAAAAGCAAAGTGCATAGAAAATTCAGATTGTAGATTTTGAGAAGGAAACTCGGAGATGTTGGTTTTCTCCAAAGTCATGATTGTGAAGCTCAATGAGAGCGTGAACTCCTTCTTCCACAGAGCCCAGTTGGATAAGACCCATTTTGCAATCTTTCCTGAAGTACAATAAAAACCATTATTAATCTTCACCAAATTTTCTCTAGCCAAGACAAAGAGTCACATAAGTGGTTTTTTTTCAGCCATATCACACACACTGAACATTTGTATAGCAAAAGCATCAGAACTAGTTATGCTCCTGCTAAAATGTAAAGATAACAAAACTATATAAATTTTGCAAAAATGGCCTAAAGCCATGCCACTGTTTCATTACACTGGACTTCAAAAAACTGGATCAAAATAAGGCTTGAAGGCCTCTAGGAAACACTTGTATTGTCCATATAGATGGGATTATTCTAGCAGGTATGATTTTGATAAAATAATGCTGTCAAGTGACCTCAATCAATGTTAGAGCAGAGACACTGTCAACTTTTATACGACATTTTACATATACACAGCTTGTATTTTTTAAAGAAGCGAGCATTTACTTTCCTTAAACTTACTTTACTTTGAACATGTATGGAATTTGTCCAAAGGCTGCATATTTTTGATTATGATAATATAGCATCTCCTTTAAAATTTTAAGATTAAAGTTATCATTAAAATTGTCATAGGTGTACCGCTTTTGCCTATAGGTATATGTACATGGAATTCTGCTATAGTTATAAATACATGGACTGTGCCAAAAAAGCAATAGCCATCTTCCAGGATGAAAGCTTGCTGAGCAATTTTACAAGAGAACTTACTGGAAAAATTTGAAGCCCTTCACAGTAGATCCTTTACTTGCAAAAAGGTTCTTCAAATCATCAACAGTAACAGAAGGCCTAATTGAAAAAAAAATTTTTAACAAAATCAAAACAAACCCCCCTCAACTTGTAGAACAGCACAGAGTTCTATAATAATATCACGATCTCAATCTTGGCTTCTAAATTAAATTTGAACAGCAAAAACTATCTCCAACCAAGTCAAACCTTGTCAACACTTCAGCCCAACAACTTGGCTTTGTGCTACAAAATTATTTCAGCTACACTATACTGCTTTTCATCCAACCCCATTTCTTTCTCAGTTAAATTCAGACTGCATAAAATTCTCTTAAGGTCTGAATCAGTACCTTCATGAATACATTTCACCTTGAAACTTGAGTGACTGTGCTTCATGTATTTTCAGTTCTGAGGCTTTTTATTTTATTCAAAAAGCCATTTTCTAAGTGTCTTATAATTTCCTTTGTTACTTGGACCAAATTCCATAGTTTCCTCTTCTCCCTCCCTGCACAGCTGCCAAACAATCGAAGCCTGTAAAAACTTATGTTTGGCTGTTACTCCACACATTGTTGACAACATTGTAGATATAAAAAATAGATTGTGTCAGTCTTAAAGAACGCCATGCTTAACACTTTTTTTTTTTACAACTTCCTCTCCATGAAAGAGACCTGAATTCTGTAGAAATTAGTCTTTTAGAAGCGTAAGAATTATTAAAAACTGTTACTATATTAAGTAACAATGTCAGTGACAAATTTTTTTCAATGTAATTCCGGTACGTAATCTCAAAACACATGTTTAAGCTTTGCAAAAATTTGTAACACAGAACTTAATAGGTAAAAATTCAACTGATTAAAACTCATCAAGAAGATGATTCAGACAATTGTCCTCATTGCTAATGATAAAAAAAGGACAGTTAAAGGACTAACTTATTGTTAATTATACAGCAGAATGATCCACAGTAGAAAGAAGACCAAGGGAATGTAAAGCTTATGTCAGACTTTGTAACTTCAGAATGCAACCTAAAAAACATCTCTCCAAGAAAATCACACATGTAGATACTCACGGGATGTTGGAGAGATGCAGAGTAGCAGACGGAGGAAAGATATTTTGGCAGTTCCTAGAGCCAGGGTTCTTAAAGCGATGTAAAGGGCTATTGCTATAGTCCTTGGTCAGACCTTTGTCCTCTTGCCCTTCACGAGGAAGTTGAATTGTCTGATATTTTGAAAGAGTAGTACGCATGACCCTTCCATAAAGCCTCTGTCCATTCAAGTGGTTGATAGCTAACGAGTGGAAATGTAATTTGAACATGAATAAATGGAGGGGAAGAAAAGACGATTCTTTAAATACTAATATTGTTTTCTACTCAGTGCCAGATTTCACAGTCTAAATTTAAACTGCAACTTGCACGTCTACTAGGCGGGTTATGCCACACCATTATATTTAAAACAAGTACAAGGATGGAATATAATCTCCAGTCTAAATGCAACAAAAACGCAAAACAGTATTTCAGTAAAGAACTGTGGATTATTATGAAATAGCTAGATATAAGATAAACTACAGGAAAATTAGATGATGTATTATTAAGGTAAACTACAGGAAAATTGTATGATGCTTTAATTCTATTATTTACTAGACTGAGATTCATAGGAACTTAGTTTTTAAACCACTAAGAGTATTATCAACATAGGTAAGGAAAAGTTTGTATGTAGTAATGCAGCACAGTGATGGCTTTAATTTGTTTATGCTTGCCACAGACAGAGGGCAAATTTCTCCTTTATATTATGCTCATGCTAGTTTGAAGTATAACCGTGCCTTAAAAATCAATACCTAATTGAGCCTGGGTTGCATCTGCCATCTGGACCAAAGCAATTCCTCTTTTCTTAAACATGATCTTCACACGATGTACATTACCGTACACACCTGTGGAAACACAGAGAGGAAATCTCTCATAGCACTATTACAAGCAGCAGAAGGGCAATTCCGTTTCTTTTGATTAACATTAGATTTACAAAGAGTAATCATCTCATTAAACAGCTTGGTTAGAATATTAGTATGAAGGACAGTTTTAAAGTTTGTATATTATTTTCTGAGTCTCCAAAATGGAGGAAACCCCCCAGGATCTTGGTCATAAAACTGAATGTTTATGTTCAGCTTTTAATTAGTGCAATAGTTGTCAAAGTCCCCTTAACAGAGGCATGTTAAAATATTACTATGCCAAAACCTGTCCCCTGCCATTAATGTATGAGCCAATCCTGTACAGCATTTCCTCTGATGCAATATTTATTTTTTCCTCCTACTTTGTCTTCCCATTTTTGTAGCAAATGAACTGGACCACACCCTGAAATTCATCTGACACTGTAAATATTTTGCCTTTTTTTTGGTATCTGTGTCCTATAACTCCTGACTCAAATTACTGTAATTTTAAAACCAGTGCACCCTCTTGTGCATTTTTGGACATGGACAAAACAATGAGGCTTGAATTAACCAGCATGTGTCAAATAAATAAAAAGAATGCTAGCCCTATGGTTTCTCAAGGGATATTTGACATATCTTACCAAACAGGATGAAAAGTCCATATGGTGTGATGGCCTGTTTAAATGATAAAATGAGTATATTATTTCTAAAGCCATGCAAAAGAAGACATCTATTCCATAAGTGTATGGTAAACAAAAAGAATGGAAGAAATACCGCACACCAATACGTAAACCTGTCCCTCCAAAAGCCATTCCCTGCAATAACTACAGTGTATGGCACTCTTGTTAGTATGTATTTGCAATGCACATGTAAAATATTTAAACAAGCTAACACTTCAGCTCATGCATTTTCATCACTCAAGACTCAGTGTGTCATGCTGCAGAAGTTATTAATATTTTAAGTAGCTTCATTATTTGAACTTATTCTTAAGCTAGCAGCTAATTCCCTAAAAAAATGAAAAATATTTTCTAAACTAAAAATAGAAAAGGACATTCAAGAACTCCTTTGTATTTTGTAAACAGCAGGTAACACCTATGAAACCAAACCTAGTTGCTTCAAAATGTGTTTGCCTTGTTTTCAATTTTGTCCCCATCCATTTAGATGATGACTGTGACGTTCTAAAGTGATATACATACAATTTAACTGTTTAAATATGAAGCTCATAGAAATTGGTATTTAAATTGTGTTTGAACAGAAGCTGTTCAATTAAATTCTTGTATGCCAAACACCAAAGATCATTTACACCCTAATGCAGCCAAAACTTATTCAATTGAGACAAAGGTTTTGCCACTAATGAGTATTAAAAATACTTGGCTATCAGAAGCACTACTCACACTCTCTAGCCCTATTCCTTCTCATCTCACAACATTTGAAATGTGTAACAAAATATCTAAATTTTTCAAAAAAGGAAGATACCGCAGCCTAAGTGCAAGCCCATACCCATTTATCACTAGCATTTAGTAACAGAGAACAATTACTATCAATATGAAATTTAAATTCATCAAGAGTTTATCTTTCTGGCCTAAATATTTTAATTCAGTGTAGAGGGGTGTTTTTACAAAACTTCTTATCCAAATGAGACCACAATACTCCTACTAAAAAAAAAAAAAAAGTTTTTGGAAGACAAAACCGGGTAATTTAAAAGTCACATGGAAATGTTCAAGTGCACACTGAAACTCTGCAATAGGGGAGAAATGCAAATTGAAATAAGATTAATAAGATTTTCTATACATAGAAAAAGAAGTGACTGGGCTCAGACAACCACTACAGAAGGACAAGTGTTACGCAGTTGCCATGAAATATATTTCCAACAATTAATGCTGTTATAATTACTTTATAACTTTTAAGAAGTTGAGCATTATTTAATGCATTGATACTGTGAAATGCATTACATCACAAAGTTCTACATGACTCCTTAGATATTGTTAGTATTATGTAAAGGAGCAATGTCCTAAAAATAGCTCTAACCTATGTTTGACATGTGCTTATTCTTAAGAAGCACACTAGATTCAGAGAATCATCTTGAATAATCAGCCACAGGAAGCACAATTACAACCTTCAACAGAGACTCACTGATATGATATACTGACAAATCAAAGAGAAAGGCACTTGTCTTACAGCCCTATCTGCAGCTGTTTCTTTTGATGTTTTCCATGGAATTTGGCTGTTTGTACAAAAACAGAAACAAAACAGTTACTTAAAGAAACTGGTCAACAGATTTTTAAACCTCAGAATATGAAGGTAGCTTCTATTTTGCCATCACTCCTAATTTTAACAGTTTTACGGTTAAGTAAAATGTATTGAGTGTGTAAAACAAGAATTTTACTTTGCTGCAATAGGACTGCTTATCAACAATCAAGCGGAATTGTATTTTAAGTCATGGCCTTGGCAGAGCTTGATTTTTGGTTTTGTTTTTTTGTTTGTTTGGGGAGGTTTGTTTGGTTTTGGTTTTTTGTTTGGTTGGTTTTTTAAATATGTACATGGCTTTAAATTAAGCACAGATCAGTCTGTAATCTCTGACTAACAGGAATAAGATTATAGGATAGCCTATGTCACTTCCACTACAAAAATAACTTTCCAAGTCATCCTTGGTAATTTTACTGTCAACACATGAAAAAAACAAAATCTGGGTGGTACTATGAAAAGTGAACATGTGTATATATTCACTTTTAAAAACAGATGTATGGGGATGTCAATAGCTAAGCATACCTGTGTTTCCTTTCCAACCTGGGAAAAGGTGCAAAACTAGAAAGATCCTATCTATGTTTAGAAAGGTACTTGATTTGGCATGCTTTCTTCTCCTTTTCTCTTCCCTCCCTTTTTTCTAATTCCTTGGTTTTTAATAAATGAAAAATTCTTTGCCCTCGTTACAGATAAAGCAGCACATAGAAGCACATTTCTCACATTTTACCATAGACTTCCTTCTATTTACAAGCTACACTACTAACATAGGTTTCCTAAAGAAAATTGTCTCAGGAATCTTTTCACTGACAGCTGGAGTTTTTCACCCTCATCACTATTACAAACTACCTCAAACAAGTATAGAGCTGCCCTGTTTTTTACATTATCAGCATAGAGAATTCCTCGTATTCCTTCAGCCAACATCCATTTTCAAGAAGGATTCTGGCAGTTGGTACAAGGTGCTACTTGCATCAGTTCCACCAATCAAACTTACTTCAGGGTTGAGATTGCTGACTAGTAAAACAGAATTTCCTGGAATACCAGTAATAGCAGGAATCTGTCCAGGCACTGCTGACGGGGCAACTGTGAGAGAACCAAACAGTCCAGGAACAGCTGGAACTGAAACACCTGGAAGGGTATAAATAGCATCACCTGACATCTCAAAGTGGAAGAGAAAGAGGAGAAAAGCAGATTATGTTTGGCAAAAACATCAGTATTCAACTTAAAAATGCTTTTAAGCAATTTAGTTATTAATAGTACCTGACCAATAAAGCAGAAGTGCCTCCCTTTCAGAAATGAAGAACTATTCAGCTACACAAATAGTCTCAAACGAAAGGGGACATAAATTGTAGTCCAAGAAAGAAGAAAAATAATTCAGTACAGATGTTTATCCTGTGCTAGAAAGGAAAAGATCACTCAGTCTAAAAAAACTATTTATTTCTCACTTTCTAGCCAGGAAAGGGGAGACTTCCTGTATTTGCATTAAATGTCACTGTAGTCCTATGATTCTTAGAATTCTTAGATGCTTAGTTTCTTCTCTTGCATGTAATCTTTACTATAGCATTTAATTTTTTACTAAGCTACAAACTACATCAGTATATTTTTTTTATTACAGAAAGTAATTTTACTGAGTGATATGAAAAAGAGATACAGAATTACTCTAAGGGATACTGTGTTCTGATTGCTCTATCTGAAAACAATTTGCTTTAAGCAGGTATATTCAGATAGCCCACTAGCCATAACTACAAATATCACATTTTTAGAAAACACAAACTTACCAGCACCTTGAGGAAAGCCCAAGGGTTGGGCAAATCCAGTAGCTCCTGTATATGGTACCAATATCGTATTTTGAGTGGCTAGAGAGAGCAGACACATCTAATTAAAACAGATTTTAAAAATTTTGGAAAACAAAAGAGGTTTCAAGACTCAGAATCAGCTGACTTTGTGATTACACGTCTTATAAAACATTTGTGTTAAAATCTCTCATTGAAATCCCAAGATACTATGTTTTACATAGACAATTTCCAGCCACTTTTGAAGGCAAATATTCTGGTCAGCTTCAATGTCCCTCTCTAAAATGAAGTTTGGGTAAAACATAAGTTAGACAAATTTGAACAGGAAAGCATAGCATAGACTAGTATCCAATAAAGTTAATATGTCTGTGGTGTTCAACAGTTTTTAGTCATGTGATGGATATGCATTCTAGAAATTTGCTGAAGGTAAAGGCAGTCAAAGATGTTTTGCCATGATAAGATAAAACTATGTCCTGGATATTTCTAAAATGAGTATAATCTAAACAAGACAAACAATAACTAATTTGGGGTTGGATCAAGGGTTGGACTTGATTATCTCGGAGGTCTCTTCCAACCCAGTTAATTCTATGAATCTATGATTCTAATTTGAGATTCTGAATTTTACTAGCTGCTGAGATGCATAAAGTATATGTATTTTGCTTTTTAAAGAGATGTACATTCCCAGTTTGCATAACTTCACAAATAACCAGTGGTTTTTATGGTTCCTCTGGAAATCATAAGCATGAAACAGACTTGGAATTGCAACTTACGGCAGTTCAAGCCTCAGAGATGGCTCAGTGAGTTCCACATTAGTACGTGGAATTAAGTGCTACCCAAGGCAAAAACTTGTGTTCTAAGAGGCAATTAGGTACAAGCCTGAGTTGGGAATTCTTTCATATGTTAGCAAACACCAGATTTTTTTCTTTAAAATGGGACATGTATAATGAAGAAATACATCCTACAAGCTTGGTAATATTTCTGTTTTACTAGTCAAACCTCCACCACTGATTAAAATACAGCCACATTCACTAGTGAACGGTCCTTGATACAATACCATAAGTATCCTTTATGAATTACAAAAGCAACAAATGGAACAGACACCAAAGATCAAGCATTCATGAATGCTGCATCACATTACACCTCCCCTTATCTGTGGCAACAAAGTGTCTTTTCATAGAAACAACAGAATACATTTATCACATCAAAGCAAGTAATTGTGTTCTTGAAATACATGCACTGGTGCATTATACTGACAAGTTCTGGTAATACAGTTATTAATCACTTATTCACAATCTAAAAATGGTAATGGAAACATTAACAAAGAAATAGATAAAGAGCTTTTATTCTGCCAAGTAAGACCTGCATGTTGCACACCGATACCAAAATCAGGCATGTAAAAATTGTCAAACTGAACTAATGCTGAAAGATCTGGAATTCTTTGTTGCTTTTGTTTTTTTTTCTTTAATGTGCAAAATCATTTGCTTCATGGCTAGCAGCTAGCTTTCAAAGTAAGCTAATTCATGTATCTCTGCTTATGCTCACTAGGTGAAAGAACTCTAAGTGCAAAATATTCACAAAATCTGCTTGTTTACAGTGCAGTATCTTTTCCACCAAACCCAAAACTTAATAGAAAAAAAAGTTCATTTTTGCTATTAAGACAACTTCAAGTCTAGGGAAAAAAAGAGATGTATTATTCTGATAGTTACCTGCTTTATCTTATAGTTCTCCATCCAAAATACATCCACTAGTAATAACACAGGAAGTGGAAATGCTGACATGACTCACATCTTTTTCTCATGTTCTGTAACAATCTGTACCAGAACATGCCAATGACAACATATACATGTTGTCACCACAGACAGAAAGAATAGGAAGCATGCTTCTCCCCATCTACAGCTATTTTTTTGAAAGAAAAATATCTGTGCAGCTGCTTCACTGTGATTTCACTATAAACAAACTCGGGTATAGACATCAGACTATTCTTCATACCAGCACCTCTGCTGTTCTTACAATTACAGTAAATGAAAACTGTAATATGAAAAACAAGAAGCCTAGAAGAGTGAAGGGGAAGAAATGGAGCACCTTTCCTGTGTTATCCTCCAAAAGCACAAAGTTATCTCTGCAAGTTCATCCTTAATCTACTCTAAATGTACTTTTCCCCTTCCAATGACATTTCAAATAGTGCAAGTCTAATTAATCAGAATATATTAGACCTGTAACAGCATATTGCTATAATGCTGTATGGCAAATTCCACTCCCCTCACTCCAACACAGAGTATAAAGACAGTTGTACGTTATGCAAAGATCCAAGGCCTGTCTTTAAGGGCAGCAGTAAAAACAACTGAGAAAGAAGTGACTGTAACTCACTTTCTTATTCTAATCTAAGCTAACTCACTCAGCTATCCAAAAAAACAAAGGAAACCCAGTATCTGCCCTAGCCATCACAGAAAACTAAAGGAAAAAATGGAATTATTCCCCCACCCTTTCTACTGTGCTCATCAACTGGACAGCACTTAGATACTTATTCAACAGCTAAGGTAGCTCTTACCTATGGATTATTGCTAATGATTATCTTAGGGAGAAAGAAAAATGTGTTTGGTGATTTGCATTATTAGCAAAGCTGATTAAATGAGCATGGCACAGCCATTTAAGCCATAAGTCTTCTCCAGTGTCACATCACGCAGACAACTGTCTCCTCTGTGCCATGGAAGTGACTTCTAAAATTCAAGAAAACTTCTAAAACTTTATCTTTTGGAAGGTGACATTTATAAATGTGGCCTTTTGAATTTTCCTATAGTTTTTTTTTTTGTTAAACCAGGCAGTTATCCTAAAATATATTCAAATAAGAGCCAACACCCTTAAAACACTTATTTTCAAGCAGTCTTAGGCAGCTGATGTTAATGGGTGATGACTTTCACTGATCACTCTGATATGCAACATTTATTAAATTGCATTTACTAATTATACCATTTCAAAGCATTTTACAAATGTAGCTTTTTGACAACACTTTGATTATGCCCACGAGCATTCCTCATGTTATAGTTACAGTTGGACTTTCTGCTTTCCATACAAATTTTACTGGACCTAACACAAAGAAATGTATGCAAAATGTACCCTTCTACGAACTTCATATGAAGCTAGAGCATAAATGCAACATAAAAATTACTATCTTAGTGTGTATTTATCACTAGAAGTGAAGGTTTCTTACCAAAGGCAGAAGCAGTTAAGGATGTGTCCGGAGATCGCTGGCCATCACCAAAAGGAAGATCAGCGCGAGTGAAATCTCTGCTTTTGTCATTGTTGTACTTTACCTTTAGGCTAGTTAACTTGGAGAAACCAACGCGCAGAGTGCAGCACCCAGGGTAGATACTTTGGCCATCCAAAGACTGAAGAAAAATAATTACATTTTCAGATTCAAAACACATTAGAGCACCCACCATTATAAGTTTATTATTTGCAGCCTTTCAGTACTCAAGTACTTTTAGCAGAGCCTGCTGTGACAGGACAAGCAGGAATGGTTTTAAACAGAAGGGTCAATCTGGATTAGATATGAGAAAGAAGCTTTTTACAATGAAGCTGGTGAAACAAGGCACAGGTTGCTCAGAGAGGTGATCGAGCCCATTGGACTGGGCTCTGAGAAACCTGATCTAGTTGAAGATGTCCCAGCTTACCATTCCATGATTTTCACCTTGCAACTGTATCCAAAGACTAATTCATTCTCTGTTTTTAAAGTGCTGTTTTTAAACACCAGGTAGACAATTCTGCTGCTACTATCCTTACCTAAACATCCTGTGTACAGTTCCAGTGTAGTCCACTAGTTAATAAGTATTACATCACTTTGTGCCAATTGGACAAAACAGAGCTTTATGCATGACATGACTTTCTGTGTTTCTGATCTCACTTGTCTCCCACTCAACACACAATATTAGGTGCTAGTAACAATACTAATTTGGAAATTCTTACTGCATAGAACTGACCCTTACATAAACTCGTGAAGGGTGTGGAGCATCCTGCGAGGAGCTGCTGAAGGAGCTGGGATTGTTCAGTCTGGATAAAAAAATGGCTCAGTGGAGACGTTATTGCTCTCTACAACTACTTGAAAGGAGAAGTGGGGGTTGCTCTCTTATCTCATGTAATAAGAGACAGAAGAAATGGTCTCAAGTTTTCTGAGGGGAGGTTTAGATTGGATATTAGGAAAAATTTCTTCATGAGAAGGGTTACCAAGCATTGGAATATGCTGGAACAGGTAAGTGGTAGAGTCACCATCCCTGGAGGTATTTAAAAGATGTGCAGATGTGGTGCTTAGGTACATGGTTTAGAGGTGAACTTGGGCAGTGTTAGGTTTATCATTGGACTCCATGACCTCAAAATTCTTTTCCAGTGTAAACCTCTGGAGTTTGACTTCAAGTGAAGCAACAGAGCAGGTGGATCCTGTGTTGCAGATCACTCTGAAGAAGTGGTGGGTGATTATTGTGGCTAACTCCCTGCTGAGGAGGACAGAGGCACCAATCTGCTGACCTGACTGATGGTCTAATAGGGTCTCATCTGCCATGGTCTTGAATCACAGATGTAACGGAAAGACTGCTAAGGCCTTTCCACATATCCAACTATTACCTCCTGCTGCTGTTTCACATGAAAACTAAAGACAGCAAGGGTAAATTGGGAGTTATCAAATGGGATTTCAAAGCTCTGGGGATGGTGGTCAACAGCGTAGGAACTCAGATTGTTTTCTGCTCAGTCCTTCCAATTAAGGTAAATGACAAGAGAAAGAGGAGATGAATTCACCAAGTAAACAACTGGCTCCATCACTAGTATCAGCAACATGGTTTTGGTTCCTATAACCACAGGATCCTGTTTGAAGATAAGGAGCTGATTAGCAGTTTTGGCTGACAGACTAGCCAACCTAGTAATGAAAGCCTTAAACTAGGAAAGACAAGGGAAACAAAACAAAGCTCCAGTGAGGATACTTCCAGTAAGAGCATGCAGTCCAGAAAGCGTCTACAAGACATGATCGTGGGATATCTTGTAGCACCCCTCCTGAGAAATGGACGAGCCTGAATACCACATAGAAGTACCGGTACACCAACGCACGTACTATGGGAAATAAACAGGAACATTTATAGGACTGTGTGAAGTCATAAGGCTTGATCTTCTCTTCATTGCAGAGACGTGGTGGGACAGCTCACATGACTGGGATGTTGTCATTAATGGCTATATGCTTTTATTATGTGACGACAGACCAGGAAAGCAAGATGTGGAGTTGACCTTTATTTAAGAACACCTGGAATGTATGAAGTTCTGTCTTGAGGTGGATGGTTAGCAAGTTGGGAGTTCAAGATTTAGGATTAAAGGGCAGGCTAGCAAGGCACACTATTGTGTCCATTTTCTACAGGCTGCCTTATCAGGAAGAAGAAACAGAGGAGGCCCTTTTACTGACAGTTAGAAGAAGCCTCACAGTCACAGGTCCTGATTGCCACAGGGGATTTCAAATATCCTGACATGTGTTGGACAAACAACACAATGTCAGGTGGATAGAGACTGGCTGAGAGGCAGATCCCAGAGTGAACAGAGTCTAGGTGGAGGCCTGTCACTAGTGGTATCCCCCAAGATTCAATACCTGGCCCAATAGGGTTTAACTTATCCATCAACAACCTGCATGAAGGGGCAGATGCCTCCTCAGCAAGTTCACTGTCAACACAAAGCTGGGAAGAGTGGTCGATGCCCCAGAGGGCCGTGCAGCCCTTCAGAAGGAGCTTGACAGGCTCGAGAAATGGGCAGAGAGGAACCATCTGAAGTTCAACAAAGGTAAATGCAGTATCCTGCACCCGAAGGGGGAATAAAGCCATGCATCAGCACAGGCTGGGAGCTGCCTGCTGGAAAACACCTCTTTGGAGAAGGTGTCTTGGTGGACAACCTTGTTGTCTAGTGCATCCATGTCGCCAAGCAGGCCAATGGTATCCTGGGGTGCATTAGGAAGAGCATTGCCAGCAGGTGAAGGGAGGTGATCCTGAGAAGAGTGCTCAGCCCTGGTGAGGCCTCACCTGGAATGCTATGTCTAGTTCTGGGCTCCTCAGTACAAGAGACACATGGAGCTCCTGGAGTGGGCCCACTGGAGGGCAACAAAGATGATTAAGGGACTGGAGCATCTCTTTTACAAGGAAAAGCTGAGAGAGTTGGGCTTGTTCAGCCTCGAGAAGAGAAAATTGAGAGGGGACCATATCAATGTCTGTAAGTATGTATGGATCCAGACTCTTCTCAGTGGTGCCAATCAATAGGACGAGAGGCAACAAGCAGAAAATGGAACACAGCAAGTTCCAGCTGAATATGACAAAGAACTCCTTTACTATGTGGGTGACCAAGCACAGACTGCCTGGAGAGGTTGTGGAGTTTCTTTTCCTGGAGATATTCTAAAGCCATCTGCACACAAATCCTGCACAACGCGCTCCAGAGAATACTTGAGAAGGTAAGTAGGACTAGATGACCTACAGTGGTCCCTTTCAACCTTACCCAATCTGTGAATCTATAAAATCCCTTTTCTTATGAGTAGCTACGCTCAGAAAGACTACTGAAGTAGTATTTTCTGCCTATACGAGTCATGATGGATAAAAGAATCATGATGGATGAAGGGGAAAAAGAAAATCACTCAAAAGATACTGGTTTGTCATAATTATTTAAAATAATTTAGACTGAAATTTTAATTCCTGTGAAATCTTTAATTAGGTATAATTTATTACAAATATTCTTCTTTAAGAAAATACTATTGCTAACAACCAGGCTATAAATCCAACTACATTTACTGATTTCCAATATATTCTTAACTTCTGAACACATAGTGAATTTACTTACTGAACTAAAGTGCAAGTAGAAATAGTTAAATATCCTGAACATTTTCTGTTGAAGCTGAGAATAAAGTCAAGTTCAATAACAAAAGTAAGGCAAAAGTTCCATTCTATGTCATCTTTCAGTAATTTCCTTTTTTAACTGAATCCTAAATAACTAACACTTAATGCTTAGAGGAATCTATTCTATATACTTCAATGGGACTTTTCAGATTCTCTTTCTCTTTAAAATATGTGGTCACCTCAATATTAGTAAATAAATAAATTCAAAGTGTCTCAGGCTTAGTTTCAAATAAGAGAAGTGTTTTATTTTTGTCTTTAACTTCACAGTTCAAGTATTATAACCCCATGATTTTAACAGTGCTGTCCCTTCCACAAAAGTCCTCAAGTACTCAGCTTTCAACATTTAATTATAAAACTACTCATCACTGAGGAAACTAATTAACAGTATTTTTTAGAAAATAAAATATTTTGCCATTATAAGAAAACTTTCAGAATAAGTTGTTTAGACAAAAAATACATCAGGTATTTTCAAAAAAAAAAAAGTATCTGCTGCTGTACAAAGTGGAGGAAAATACTGGTGGCACCTCCGTTGTAACATGTTTAAGAAACGGTAAAAAAATCACTGCGCAACAGCTGAGAGATAAGTGAGATGTGAGAAACAAGTGAGAGAAACATCCCTATAGACACCACGGTCAGAGAAGGAGGGGGAGAAGGAGGTGGTCCAGGCAGCAGAGCAGAGATTCCCCTGGAGACCATGGTGAGGCAGGCTGTCCCCCTGCAGCCCATGGGGCCCACAGCAGAACAGATATCCATCCCACTTACAACTTGTGGGATGGTGTATCAGGCTGCTCTGCCTAAGTGGGAGTAACTAGCTTGAACTTCACCCTATTTGCAAAAGTTATCAGTGGTACATGGAAAAGGGGGTCATGCTGCTTTTGGTGTTGAAGGATGCTAAGACCAGCCTGAGTCATCAATTCCAAAGTTAAACATTCTGAGGAAGAACAATGTTACCTGACAGGAACTGGCACCAGTGAGGATGTGGTGTACAAAGCACCTGATAAAGGAACAAACAACTGATCCTACTGATAACTTATCTAAAGCTGCTGAGCTGACACAGCTGGCTTGGAGACATCTGACTGACAGTCAGTGACTCTATACCATAAAAGCCCAGTCCCACTTTTTAACAGCAGGGGCTCCAAACACACCCCTTCTAGAAGTACGTGTGTAGATTTCTCTCCTGGGTGTGGACACCCCTCAAGGTTACTCCTGGACACTGAGCGAGACACTTGCCCAAACCCATTGCTCCTGAGTAATTTTTTTGCTAGCTTTAATATCATTGCTTCATTATTGTTTCAATAAATACCGCACTGTAGTATTAGTTATATCTATACTATGTGCTAAAAAATTCTGATTAATGTTTTTTTAGTCTAATTATTATAATTATCATAATCCATTTAAATAAATAATTTATATTAATAATATAAACATATTTCTTTTGCTATCCTTAATCTAGGGGGACAAAGTTGTATAAAGGTTCGATTACACGTATATAATTCCTTTAAGCATAAACTATTAACTAAGTCTGGGGCTAAGATTGGATCCAGCTGCACTCAGACTCCTCTCTGAGGAGTTTAGAAAACAAGTGGGTCCTTTCTGCACCTCACGACACAACAGGAGTGTCTCCCTGGTAAACCTTGTTCAAAGCTTCCATTCTGCCCATGACAGAAGGGCCCACACTGGAGTAGTTAGGGAAGGGCTGCAACCCAGCAGAACCATCCAAGCTGGCAAGAGGAACAGTGTGAGGAGGAAGGAGCAGCAGAGACAAACTGTAATGGAATGATCGCAGCCCCCATTCCCTATCCCACTGCACTTCTCAGGGGAAGGAGGCAGCAGATTGCAAAGGAAGTGGAGCCTGGGAAGATGGAATGAGGGCATGGGAAAGGTGTTTTTACTTTTGTTTTTGTTCCTTACTTATCCTAAGTTGAATCTGTATGCACATGACAGTAATTGTTGAGCAATCTCCCTACACTCTCTCAACTCACAAGCTTTGTCACCTTTATTTTTCCCCCTGTCCTCCTGAGGAAGGGGAGTGAGAGCAGCTTGGTGGGTTCTTGCAGCTAGCCAAAGTTAACCCACCACAGAAAATATACCTGAGTAGATGAGCTTTTCTTCATCAGTGAGAACATGCATTTTAAAAGTCAGGATACAGTTTGTTTGAAATTAAGAATTTCAAGACAAAAACACTGATTATTGTAAATTTTTCACTGAAATTCAAGCAAGTAAGACATGTAATATTCATCTAATTTCTGGGCATTTCACTACACTACTCTTCACTGAACCTTACTGAAAATATTCCATTTTGTTTGAAAGGCAAACCTTTTCGGTCAAGTACATTTAGTGTCACTCATCATGACTGACAGTTCTGTTTTGGTAGACTGGAGAGACAGGCAGAGCAATATCCTCTGAAATTCAGCAAAGGCAAATGCAGGATTCTGCATCTGGGGAGGAATAGCCCCACGCACCAGCACAGGCTGGGGGCTGACCTGATGTGAAGCAGCTCTGCGGAGTATGTGGGGATCCTGGTGGACAACAAGGTGTCCATGAGCTAGCAGTGTGTTCTTGTGGCCAAGCACGCCAATGGTACCCTGGGGTTCATTAGGAAGAGCACTGCCAGCAGGAAGAGGGAGATAATCCAGCTCCTCTGCTCAGCCCTGGTGAAGGCTCATCTAGAGTGCTGGATGCAGTTCTGGGCTCTTTAGGACAAGAGAGACATGGAGCTCCTGGAGCAAATACATTGGAGGGCTATGAAGATGAGGGGATTGCAGCATCTCTCTTACATAGAAAAACAGAGGGAACTAGGCCTGTTCAGCCTTGAGAAGACTGAGAGGGGATCTTATCAATGATTTTTGTTTCAGCAGACTAATACACTTGGGTGTATGCTATATATTTGTTTGCAGTTTGATGATAGAGTTCTGTCCTCTTAACTAATGAAGAATGTCAGAAGTTATTCATGTGCATCAAGAGGGTTAGAACAATGAGAAATCATAAAGGTAACGGTCAAGATATCCTTAATGTTTCCCCCTTACCACATGGGGAAAACCCCCCCACAAGCAAACAAACAAACAAACAAATCAATTTGAATACAGTGTACTTACCATTTTGGCATAATATGCGTTCATTCCATCAGCATATTGGAGCAAAGCTTGGAATTGATTGTTCTTAATGAACATGATAATCTTCAAGACATATCCAAATTTAGAGAAAATCTGTTAAGGAAAAAACATGGACTTTTAGACCCAATGAATAATTCACGCACTTTAAAAACTAGCATTTAATATTTCAAATAAACTTCTGAAAAGTATTTCTGTTCTGAGAGCTAAACAAAAATTGAGTGAACTCAGAATTTTGTTTCAGTTAAAAAAAAAATATTTAAAAAAGAGGCTACAAGAGATGGGAAAGAAGGATAAAACTTCCTAAAAGATTTAGCAATAACGGATCAACAAAGAGCAGGGAAGGAAAGCCCAAACAGTCCCAAGTCTTGGAATCATAGAATCTGCTGGAGTTGGAACGGACCCATAAGGATAATTGAGTCCAACCCATGTTTCTACACAGGACTCCCCAACAATCACATCATGTGCCTGAAAACATTGTTCAAATGCTGCACCCACTGAATAACATGGTTATTCAGCTGTGGGCTGGACATTTTGTTCCAGAAGTGTCCTGTGAGAGACAGTACCAAAAGCTTTGCTGAAATCCAAAAAGATTACATCAGCTGACTTCCCTTGATCAACCAGGTGGGTCACGTTGTAGAAGGAAATCAGGTTTGATTTCCTTCAGGACTTCCCTCTCATGAAGCCATGCTGGCTGTGACCAATGACTGCACTGTCCACCAGGTGTCTCTCAATATCTCCCAGAATAATCTTTTCCATGAGTTCACCACACACTGAAGTGAGACTGACAGGCCTATCATTTCCAGGGTCCACCTTTTTGCCTTTTTTGAAAAATCGAGAGAACATTGAGCTTCCAGTCATCTGGGACCTCTCTGGATTCCCAAGACAGCTTAAAAATCATCAAGAGAGCTTTGCAATGACATCAGCAGCTTTTTGAGGATTCTGGGATGAATCCCATCAGGACTCGTAGATTTGTAGGCATCCAGCTGGAGCAGCAGATCCCACACAATTTCAGGGTCAACTGGGAGTTGATCATTCTCACAGTCACGGTCCTCCAGGTCAGGACACTGAGACCCCCCTGGTCCATCATCCGTGTGGAAGACAGAGGCAAAGAAAGCATTAAACACCTCTGCCTTGTCGATGTCCCTGTTTGTGTGGGGACCATCCTCATCCTGTAACAGTGATGATATTTCTATACTGGTTTTGCCATTAACATACTTGGAAAAATTTCTTTCTATTGTTTTCACATTTCTGGCAGCTTCAACTCCAGTTTAGCTTCGGCTGCATGAATTTTCTACCTACAGTGGCAAACAGCATCTCTGCATTCTTCCAGTGTCCCCTGACCTTGCTTCCACTGGGCACACACCTTCCTTTTTTGCCTTATTTCTGAGAGAAGATCCTGTCTCAGCCAAACTGGCCTTTGGCCTCCCTTGCTTTTCTGACATTTGGGAATTGCTGCTCCCGTGCCCTTAGGGAGTGATGTTTAAAAAGTGACTGGCACTGATGGATCCCAGCACGTGCAAAAACATTTTCCCAGAGCACACTTTACTCTGTAATTCTCTGAACAGCCTGAAGTCTGCTCTCCTCGTGTCCACAGCTGAGGTTTTCCTGGCACTTCTTCTGTCAGCAGATATTTTAAACTTGATCACTTCACAGTCTCTGTGGCCAAGACAGCCACCAATCTCCACCTTGCTCAATGAGATCTGCTCTGTGGATAAGCAGCAGATCAAGGAGGGTGTCTTTCCAAGTTGACTCTCTTAGGACCTGTTCCATAAAACTGTCATCCAGGTTTTTCAGGAGCCTTCTGGCCCAGGTTGCACCAGCTGTGTGATGCTCCCAGTTGTTTCTGGCAGGCTGAAGTCCCCTGTAGGGACAAGGGCAGTTGACTTGAAGGTGTTCCTTAGTTCCTCAAAGAATAATTCATTGCTGTCACCGTCCTGGCTGGGAGGTCTATAGCAGACTCCCACAGTGACATCTGCATTATTTGTTTGTCCCTTGATTCTTACCCAGAGGCTCTCACTGTGCCATTGCCAGCTGTGAGCTCCACACATCCTAACCCTTCTGGTACACACAGTGCCACCCCTCTGCCTCTTCTGCCCGGCCTATCCCTCCTGAAGAGCCTGTAACTGTCCAACAGGGCATTCCAGTCACAGGGCTCATCCCACCAGGTTTCCCTTATGCCAATGATGTCAAATCTCTGGGACTGGGCCAAAGCTTCGAGCTCCTCTGGTCTGCTCCTCACGCTGCGTGCACTGGTATAGAAACATTCCAGGTGTGGCACACTGCAGCCAACACCTCATGAAGCAGATTGACAGACCCCATTAATGCCCATTTCCTCAAGTTTTGGCACACCATCCCATTGCTCATCACTGGCAAGTGTGGTATTTCCCCCTTCCACCTTCCCAGCTAGTTTAAAGCTCTGTCAATGAGCCCCACTAGTTCCTGAGCTAGAACTCTTTTTGGCCTCTGAGATAGGTGCATCCCATCAGGTGTCAGTAGACCAGGTGTTGAATAGATCATCCCACAGGCAAAAAACCCAAAATTTTTCCAGTTACGCCAGCCTGGGAGCCATGCACTGAGCTGCCTATTCCTATCAACATTATTCCTTGTTTCTGGAAGTCAGCTGAAATGGGAACTGCAAATTGCCTTTCAAGGTGTTCACCTTTACATTCTGTACTTCAAACAAAGTCTGCAAATTTCTTAGCTAAAAATACAACTTAAATAGGTGATGTGCTTACAAAGATCCATTCTCCAAACTGGAAGACAAAGAGGAAAGAAGCAAGACAAAGACCTAGACTGGAACCCACCCACATACATTACTATCAAATGGTATTTGATTTATGGCAAATGCAAACATTACAGAAAAATTTTAAAGGATGAAATTAAATATATATACACTCAAAATGAGAGTGTGCACTACATAGAAGCGTCTATACAGAAGCAAAGGCACAAGGAGCGAGGACAAAATTAAAGCTAGGATGTATCATGCAAGTACAGAAAAATTATGTCCAAATTAACAGTCAAAGAGGAAAGGTGAGCTTGGGAAATACTAACAGTTTTGTAACAAACTGTTAGAATCAATGCAAAGTCAGGAAAGCAGAAATCCCTGAGAAGTATTAAACCTGCAATGGAAAGAAAGGCCATAGATAAGGATAACTATCTTTTGCCAGCCTAGAATCATGGGTCCAAGACCAGTGTCCCAACCCTTTGTGCCCAGTTTTTCATCCCTCAGAAACAAGATTTTAATGCTGCACTCATAATTTTGTCATAGGAAATGCAGCAGAAACCCTTCCACAGCTATTTAAAATTAGCCATTGATTTCCTGTTGATAAAGCACTTCCTCTTAAGAAAGGCCAAAACGAAGCTTCGCAGCATATGTTTTTCCATGGTTATTCAGAAGACTAAATATTTTTAAGGTAATGAAATTCAATGCACTCCTGCTTGGTTGTACACCTAAATACACTGTATGTATCAATTTTGTTTCTGCACAGCTAAAACTATATTCTGTTGCTTATGATAAACATTTTAAGGCAAATTGTGGTTTAAAAAGTTAATTTCTTAACAAGCAGTTATAACTTACAAAATACAACTGAAGTTTTGGATGACAGCTTGCCTACTAGTGTTCCATAAGATGCTATACTTGACAGTGAAAATTTTCATTTGCGTTAACCCTATCACACTTAATGCAATGTTAGATTGTAGCTACCGGGCACAAAGTGCTGCTTTAATTAGAGGAGATTGCCCCCTGATAAGAACTGCAAATAAGATCTCTTTTCAAACATTGCTAAATTTCATAGACCTATTGCAAAAGTAGTTCAGTGAGGGTCACTGGGCAATTCAGAGACTGAAAATATCATCCTACTGTGCTGAAGTAAACTTTAATGATATTAAACCAACATGAATTTCCTCTTTGCTGTTGTACTGTTAAAACTAGTACAGTTCCCATAACCACAGAATCTTTTTCTCAAATTATTCTGAGGGCACTAATAATCCTAAGCGGTTGACACAGTATTTATACAAGTTCAGTAAAGAGTGAACAACACTCAAAAAAAGTTTAGATCAGGTAAACTGCTACATCAAAGTGACAATTACTATACTAGTTAATGAGTATCATGGTGGGGAGAAACAGAGTAAGAGAAAATGTTAAGAGATAAGAAGAAAAATAAATTGTTGCTAACAATCATCTATTGTTTGACATCATAGCAGAGCAGGAAAAAATCTTCCAGGACTGCAGATTCTTGTAAAATCATCCCAATTATTTTAAATCACATTAGTTAAGAAACTCCTACTTGGGTCATGTTTTTTCCTGTATAAATCTAGTAGTAATTACAAAAGCTTTGCAGTATCTTTAAAAACATCAACAAATCCTTTGGTCACAAATAAGTGTTCTCAAAGTTACTGTTTTTAAACTTGGAGCTCTCAATAGCATGATGCAAATACCTAGCAGAAATTAAAGTAATGTCTTTCATAGCTAGAGTCTACCACTATTCAGGGCTTTCAGAGGTAGTTAAACGTCATTCTAAGAGTTCATGAACAATCAGAAACATTTGTCAAAGCAACTTGCATATTACATCCCTTGCATTGAATTATAAAAGGGAATATGAACCCCTAAAATATAATGCACTCTCTGTACTGAGTAACTCCTGTAGTTTGCTAAAATACAGATCCACAAGTTCATAACAATCAGTATTTCACTAGTTCATCATAGGGGCATAAATCAGAAGTAACAGTTCAAGTTCATTGATGCTTCCACAGAAAGGAAATAAGGTAAAAAAACCAAAATGAAAAACAGGGTACAGAAGCTTTGTTTACTGGAATTTCATTTGTGCAGAACTATTTTAAACCTAGATCTCTATTTGCAAGAATTAATTTTAAAGTAGCAGTCCTCACTCAAAAGATTAAGGATCCACAGGTACTTAAAAAAATAAATTCATGGATTTACAATAGTAATATTGGAACAGATTGTAATTTATTTTTTTTTAAGCAATCCTCATTACCTGATACAGCATTTCTAAAGTGATAGTGTAAAAAGCATTTTCAACAACGATTCGAAGAACAGAACCTTGACCTGGAAGGAGTCCACCTTCACCACCAAGAGCACCTGCAATAGCCACACTTCCATGCTGCACAGTATTCACACCCTGCAGTGCAGCCTGGGGTCTCTGAAATTTCAGCATAGCAGAAAGCACAATTAATTTACATACAGATTATCATACTGAAACAAAGTTCTCTTAAAAGAAAAGTACATAAAATTCAACGACAAAAAACACACAGTTCCTTCATATGATTGTTGATTCAAATCCCACATTAATAAGGGTAAATTGTACCTCTTCCTCTCTATGCCCCTCCCCTACAACTGATCAGTGTAACTCACAAAATTACAACTATTTTTTTAGTTAAATTGTTACTACTTTATAATGTCATATAACCACAATTTTGCTTTGATTCAGTAAAGCTTTGCCATTCTAGAAATTTTTCCAGCAATATTGTTGATGACAGTATTGATCATAATATTTTAATAGACTAACAATGAGTCAATGCCCATAAAACTATTTGCTCTGCTTTACTAGGATTTCATTCTCTTCAGGAACTGAGATTTGCTGGGGATAAGCTTAAAGGTATATACCTGCTCTTCTTTCAGAGCCAAGTTATCAACCACTCCTCAAACTGGAGTTTTGTCTCTACACTTGTTTTTCATGGCCTTCAAACCTCCTCTGAGTAGCAGTACTATGCAGAGATGTTCCTTTCCAAATATAATGCTGTGACTTGAAACCATGTCTCAGCTACACCATTTTCTTGGGAGACAGACTAAACAGGGTGCAGATGTTCCCTAGTTTCAGAAAAAATAAAACCCTACAAATTAATCTGTACTTCAGGCCTGAGCCTAGACACTAGGATAATAACATAGTGTTCAGCTGCACTGCTAAGGTATGAAACTCAAACATAAGAACCATAAGTGCCACCCCCTCATTTTTAAAAGTAGACAGTATTTTTATAGAAGAAAGCAAGTGCCATGCACCAAGTTAAAAATAGTCAGAAAGAGATAAAAGGAATCTTATTTGCAAATATATGTATGATTACATTTGGCTGTTACACAAACCACACCCTTAAAAGAAAACAAGCTTGCTGTTTGTTTTTGCAGATAACAAATCAATCCAACAATCTTGGATGAGGAAAGAGTCAAATAACATTTACCAGATGACAAGCTTACAAGACTTCAGTGTCTTTTGAGTGAGCACAAATTAAAAATGAGCAATGATTTATGGCCCTATCACTACTTGCAATATTCTTACAGAAAACAAAATCTTGATATACACATTGCAGAATATAACTTGGGTAACTAAAGGGGAAGTCAATTAAAAATCATCCAGGAATCCAAAAATCTAAACAGATTTCAACCATAGTATGATGGTTTGTATACTCTGATCTTATTGTGCAAAGAGTATTTTCATGCTTAGAGATTAGGTATAAATAGCTCATCTGCATTTTTCAATTCATGTTCTTAAGAAATCAATTTCAGAACTACAAGGAAGAAATTAATTCTGGTGCTTGGCATGTCTATCAGGCTGCTTTCCAGCTGGTTAGCCACCACTGTAAAGTGGCACCTGAGGTTAATCTTCAGGTGCAGCAGCTGGCATTTCCCTTTGTTGAACTTTATGAGGTTCCTCCTGCCAGTCCATTTCTCCAGCTTTTCAAGATCCCTCTGAATGACAGGACACATTTCATGTGTCAACTACTCTTCCTAGGTCTGTGTTGTCAGTGATCGTGCTGAGCATGTTCCCCATCCCATCAATCAAGGGATTAATGAAGATGCTAAACAGTACTGGACAAAGTATCAACCCCTAGGGCACTCTACTAGAGACTCGACCTCAGCTAAACTTCATGCTACTTCAGAACCATTTTACCCTTTCAAATCACCTCACCATCTTCTTAACAAGACTGCATTTAATCAGTTTAGCTATTGGGATGTTATTGGAAACAATGCTGAAATTCTTGCCAAAGTCAAGATAAACAATATCCACTGCTTTCCTCTCATCCACTAAACCTGTCATCTCATCATAGAAGAACATCATATTTGTCAGATGTTATACCCTTTATAAAAACCCATGCTGACTTTCCCTAACCCCCTTCTTCTCCTTAGAACATTTGGAGATGGTTTCCAGGATGAGTTGCTTCATTCCCTTCCCAAGAACTGACATCAGGCTGATCAGCCAGCGGTTCCCTGGTTCTTCCTTGTTGTCCTTCGTTAAGATAGGAGAGATATTTTCCTTTTTCCTAGTCCTCTGGAACCTCTTTCAACTTCCACGACATTACAAGACTATAAGAGTGGCATTGCAATGACATCAACAAGCTCCCTCAGCACTCACAACTCTATCTCTTCAGGGTGAAAGACTTTTTGCCTATCACATTAATTTAAATGTTCCCTAGTGAGATTCTTCTCTATTTCTTTCATTAAGACTTTCCTGCTGTTCTCAATTGCTTGGTAATCCCAAGGGTAAGTCTTAAACACTAAAAGCTGGAGATGGCATCCAGAACTTCAGACTTTTCCATGTCCTTTGTCACCAGGGTCCCTACTCCCATTCAGCAGCAGTCCCACATATTCCAAAAAAATTTTATTTCTACTGCTGATACACTTTGAGAAGCCGTACTTGCTGCTTTTCACACCATTCACCAGAGACAACTCCATGTGGTCTTTGACTTTCCTAACCACACCCCTGCATGTTCAGATAATGCTCTGTCATTCTCCTGGGGCACCTGTCCATGATTCTAACTTTTCTATACTTCTCCTTTATGTTTAAGTTCAATCAGGAGCATCTTGTTGATCCAGGCAGTCTTCTTGCCACCCTCACTTGGTTTCTTACTCATCAGGATAAACAATTTTTGAGCTTGAGCTTCTCCACAGTAATTTTACAGATATTGAAAAGTCCCTGCCTGAAAGAAGTTACTACTTAAATAAAAAGACAGATATTATATATATCAGAACTTGACTTCTGGTGGGAAAAGTAGTGTCTTTATTCACTAATGTTGTGGTTCAACCCTGGTAGGTAGTGAAGTGCCACAGCTGCTCAATCACCGTCCCCCAGCAGAATGGGGAAGACAATTGGAAGAGTGAAAGTGAGAAAATCGATGGGCTGGGTTACAGATAGTTTAACAGTTAAAGCAAAAGTTGCACATGTAAGCAAGGCAAAATAAGGAACTCCTTTATTATTTCCCATTGGCAGAAAGGTGTTCAGACATTATGGTTTCACTGAATGTAACAATTACTTGGAAAGGAAAAGAAACTCAGATCATCCCCCCTTCCTCATGATTCCCCCAGCTTTCAATGCTGAGCACAATATCATATGGTGGGGGATATCCCTTGGGTCAATTGAGATCAGCTGTCCCAGCTGAGTCCTCTCCCAACTTCTTTTGCACTCAGCTGGCAGGGCAATATGAAAAGCCAAGAGGCCTTGATACTTTGTGTCACAATCTGCTACAAGGAAAATAAACTCTCTTCTAGCCAAAACCAATACACCATCCCGCTAAACAGAAATATTATACTTACAGCCTGATTATGTTGATTTTCAGTCTTAAGTTCTTTGTAATTGGAATACTGAATATAAACTGGTTGACTGTGGAGGTGAGGTATGGAAAGACTATAGTAGTTCACCACAGAAACAGCAGCTTCTATAGAAGCCATTTCCAAAAACGCCTGTAACCAATACATACTTTACTTCAGTGCTGGTTTTGTTTACAGAAGAGAACAAAGCATCAAAACATCGTTTTTTACCAATTCCACTCTCACTAGAAAAAGATGATATGAAAGTATACTACTTGTTTACTCAGCATTAAAATGCACTTGTGTGTGCATGTTTACAGGGTTTTGTGGGTTTTCTCATAAAGCTTTACATTGTAAGTACATCAAGTCCTTAAAGAGGTAGAGTAAGTATGACATATGAAAAGCAACATTGCTAAAAATACCACACTGCTAATGAATTTATTAGATTCGTGAATCCAGGCATTATTACCTAACTAGCAGATACACATACTGTTTGAAAAAGTAGGAATAAGACACTAAACATCTATCAGTTTATGCATCATATTAACCCAGATGAGCTCCAGACAATATTTTGAATGAATGCCTATTATTTTTAGGATCTCAGTGTTTATTCATGGTGTGAACTATTCTGTCACATCTAATAGAATTAAAAAGATGTTAAAAAATTAACAGGCATGTTAGTAACTTAATCAGGGAGGCTACTTCAAGACATACGTCTACATCAATAGAGACAATATAGTTATCATCCATACGTTCTTACCTAAAGTGGATATAACGTTTAGCGACATTAACAAGTTTCTAGATCATTATTTAATTCAAAGAACTTAAAATAAATTTCATAACATCCTTTCACATTTGAAAATATGAAAATCTTAAGCTTTCAATGAAATATTTAGACATTGTTGCAACACAACACCTAAACATGAACCACATCTTCAGCCTTGCCCTTGTAATTGAAACATTGAAAATTACATACCTGACCTTTTCCTTTTAGCATCAAGAAATTGGTTACTTTGCCAAAAGGGAGGCCTAATGCAATGACTTCTGATCCAGTAGCACCACTTGGAATTTGACGAATATGAAGAACACGTGAAGGGAAACGTGACAATTTGCCTCCTTTGACTTTTTTCTTCTCATTGTCTAAAATATTTTGGGGAAGAGACAGACAAGCAAACAAGGTAAGTTTATTGCACAGTGTAGACACCAAAACCTAAAAGAGAGAAACTGCTGCCTCAGCACTGACATTGACTTAGATATAGGTCTTTGAATCTTAAGACAAGATAGTTCATACATAACCACAGTACACTGTAAGAAGACCTCATCAGCTACTCCAAATATCAACAGCAATGGAAAGGTGTATTGTGTTTGGCTTTGGTTTGGGTTTGCTTATTTTCTTCTGGTTTGAGGTTTTTTTAAAATTCTTACAGACACAGAGGCCACTAACTTCTTCCCAAATGCCCATTTAAGATATTTACAAAGTTGCACAGAATAGGGGTTAGCCAAAACTGAGATGTAATATATTACATTTTTTTAATCGCTAACTTATCTTCCTGCAGCTGAGGTGTAAACTCAAAAGGTCTTTATTTATTTTATTATTATTTATTATTTTAAGCTTTAAAAAGTCTTTGAAAAGGATGAATTCCATACATAGAATGAATTCCACACAAACTCTAGAGTTTTCTACTTTGGTTTGGATCCTGTAACAGGTAAGTGACCAATGATTACATTTCAAGGAGATGGCTCAGAGTTCTTGAGAGCCCTTTTACACAAAACACCACATATGGAAGAGGCATACTGTTCTAGAAGCAATTGTGATGAAGGAAAGAGAGACAGTCTTAACACCTGATGTCTTGAATTTAGCTTTCCAATGAGAACAACAAAAGAAGAAGAAATATCTGTATGAGCTTTAGAAGAAACTTCAGATTTTGCTATAGGTTTTGAGTACAGTCTAAGGCTCAGAAGTGGTTTACACAAGTCATTCTGTATTACAGATGGTTCTCCCAAGTTCGATGATCTCAGCCCCAACCACGGCACACTTACAAGCCAAGTTAACAATTTCCCCTCTTGCAAAACAGAAATGGTTATGCATTGATTTTTCTATCAAGAAATTTTATAGGGCTTCATGTACTCTATATGCATTCTGAAAAATTTGAATATCTGGTACATTTGTTGGGGATGAGACTAAAACAAACGTGAATATATTAAACACTTATCAGTACCAAGCCATGACAGGATATATTACTAATAAAGTCTAACAACCCCTTCTCTTTTTTTTACTTTTCAGGTTCAAAATGGACAAGATGTCCTTGACTTCACTAAGTTAACTTGACTTAAAGTTAAATTATGCAGCCATTGGTCATTAATTCTTCAAGACCACCTATGCTAGAACCACTGAAGGAAGCAGTTTCTAGCTTTCTCTCCATTTCTTGTCCTACCTAAAACTATGGGTAGACATATACACTTGCTGCCTCTTTCTCAACACATGCAGAGGGCAGAGCATAAGTTTCTTCACATGGTAGTATAGTTTAACATGCCTGGAGAAACATGTGGCTGTGGTTTCACACTGAGCCATCACATAGCTTTAATGGACATAGTTTCCTTACCTGCATCTGTCTATCCAACTTCCCACCATCTCTCAACAAAACCCCATTCTGCTGGTTTTGCACTACATACCTGAACAGTAACCTGTGCCAAATCTAGAAAACATCTAATCAGGAGAAAAAAAATGTTGTTTGTTGGGGTTTTTTTACTGCTTTCCTTGCAAAAACATTACCATTCATCTCAACCCATGGATAGATTGCCTGGGGACAAGAACTGGCAGAAAACATCTGAAACCAAATCACAGGACTGTCTGTGCTGCTCCTCAAGAAGTTCTAGAGGTAGTGTAGAAAGCAAGAAAAAGAACAGCAAGGAGCATCAGCTGAACTTTTTATCATGAATCCACATAATGTGCCTTATGTTCCACCAAACTGAGATGGGTGTCTTTGTAATCCTGACAGCACTGAAATACTTCAAAACAAATTCCTTTCAAGCACTCAACTACAGGAAAATTGAATAGGCACTTAACAGTCCGTATAGAAGGTATCTGATTGATCGTGTTTATAGAAAACAGGTTTGTTTTTTTCCTCCATTTCAACCGATCATTTTTGGAGCTCCTCAATAATGTCATGGAATTGGGAAGGTTCACGTGCTGGTACTGTTGGGAGTCAGATTACAGTTCAGTCTTGGTAAGGATGCTTATGGTGACAATAAAGAATACAACACCACCACCACCACCACCCACCCACCCACCCACCCAC